TATGACACTTTACTCATTTACTCCTCACTACAAGGCTGGAATTCTGGGATCGGACATTTCTGTGGGTTAAAGCGGCTCAGTAGTGTTTTGGTAGGACAGAGTGGCCAGGCCTGTGAGCATTTTCCTAATACAGCGTGTCTTCAACGCTTCTTGCAGCTCACTGACGGCATTTTTGTAGTTAAAGTGACTGCCAGTTCCAGCGGAACTGGAGGGCAGGGAGGGGCAGGGCTCAGGTGGGATGTGGGGCTTGAAGACTCACTGCCACATGGCAACTCCAAGGAGGAGGAACCCATGATTTGGCTGGAGCTGCGACCCAGGACCCTGGCCACAGAGACCCTCCACAAGCCCCGGGAGCTACAGGAGTACTTCTGATTTCTAAGGGGTTCTGCTCATGTGACAGAGTACAAAAGAATCCCACTGAGCACATGGTTATTTTGACTCTCATTTGGGGGTCACAGGCTTTGATAGTATTACACTTGTGAGCTGAGGCCTCCCACCAGTGTTGGGCACACTTACATTTATGATCTTGCAAAACCATTTTTTTCTCCAGTCTCCCAGAGACTGATCATTCTGAAGCACAGTGAGGAAACCCGGCCATCAGCTCCTTAAGATAGAACCCAACATCACTGGGCTAATTTGTGGGAGAGCTGATCTGGGACTTGACCATGTGCCTTTGGTCACCAAATCCAAAGCTTTTTCCAAGGTCACTGGCTGATAAAGGGAAATGTTATGAGTAGACACTAGGACTCTCAATTTGGACAGAAGCTCTTTTAGGAATCAGACTTTTCATGACATACAGTTGTAAATTCTGAAAGTGTTTTAAGGAATTCTGGCCAGAAATCAGTAGGATATCCTCCACTTTGCCAGGCCTTCTTTAGTCAACTGGTTATTTTGGGGGGCAATGAGTAAAAGATTCATAACTCCAAGAGACAGATAGCAAATTGGAGTAATATGGACAATAACAGCTACCATTTACTGAGCAGCTACTGCATGCTCATCTGTGGTTAGGAGCACTGAGGCTGGATTCAGACCATTCTAATGTGTGAGTTTGAATCTTGACTCTGCCACTTAACTAGCTGCATGACTTTGGGCAAGTTACTTGACCTCTTTGAGACTTAGTTTCCTCATTTGTAAAGTCAGAATGATAATAGTACGGGTTGCTATGAGGATAAATGAGTTAATACAAGAAACACTGTTTGACTAGTAACCACTATTAAATTCTTACTACTCAATATGTAAAACTTGGAGCCAGGTTCAGTAGTAAAAGTTAATGAAAGACTAGAGCTACCTGATAAGGACAGGACCACACTAAGGATAGCTCTTCAGTAATGAAGATTTGGGTCACTTCAACAGGTAAAACTCTGCCCAACTTAAATACACGTACTGAGAGCACAGAATGGGTAATGGAAGAAAGATGCTGTAGGTACCTACTGTGATATCGCGACCCATTTAAAAACAGGGTAGGTGTATTTCTTCCCTTTCTTGGTAATGTCCATGTACATACACTCACACTCACAGACTGGCACATATGTATTTTTAACCCCCTTCCTTCACCAATTTTCTATAAGGAGAGCAGGTATTGGTTAACTTTATAGGTTAGTTTCTAGGTTATACAATATCCAGCTAGGGTTGTAATTAAAACAGGAATAAACATCACTGAGATGGATACAATGACTGTAGAGACTTTATGTTTTCTCTTCTCTGCCAGAAAAGTGAGAGCGTTTTCTTTTGTAGAAAGGATAGTTGTATGGCGTTAGGTGGAAGCAGCAACTTGCTGCTGTCGTACGGAAGTTTACGTAGAGATGGAAGGGTGCACGTGGACGCTTGGTCACCATGGAGTGGACCATGCCGGGGATTTACCAGGTGAGCCTCAGCTGTACCCGTTCTCCTGTACTCTGCTCTGTGCCGCCGGGGTGGGAACGTCCTTAGCAGCCGGCTCTCTATTAGGCTTTGCCAATTGGAGACAGTGGCAGGAAAGCAGAAGGTGGGAGGAAGAGAGAAGTTCCTGGGTCTGATGCCAACAGCAGCAGCAATTCTGGTGGTTGCCAAATGGCATCTGGGCAGTGGTGGCACCTCTTTGGCAGCTCTAGCAGCGGCAAGGACATTGCGCCAGTTATAACATGTCTCTCCAAAACAATGACTTTAAAACAATAATAATCATTTTCTTATTCTCGCTTGGACTTCTGGGAATTGACTGGGCTCGCCTGGGCAGGCCCTGCTTGGGCTTTCCAGTGCTGTCGGACAGTGGCTGGAGCTGGAGTTATCTCAAAGGCTTGCTCGCTCACTTGCCTGGCAGTTTCTGTTGGATGATTTCTACCTGGCCTCTCCAAGTGGCTTGGGCTGGGTTCCAGGAGCAAGCATCCTGAGACACAGCCTAGTGGAAGTTGTCTCACCTTTTTGGATCTAGGCTTGGAAGTCACAGAGCATCTCATCTGCTGTATTCCACCTGTAAGAAGCAAGCCACTAAAGCCAGCCCATGGTCAAGGAAGGAAAACGAGACTCCACCTACAGCCAGGAGGAGGGCCAAAGAATTGCAAACATATTTTGAAACCACCACAGGCAGCATCCTCCAGCACCAGCAGGTGTGGGCTTGTAGGTTCCAGCCCAGAGATGTTTGCAGTTTCCTATCTTTGCACGTCATCCCTTCTTCCTCCTCCAACATGCCCCTTCTGTTTGCCAACCCTTCCAACATCTTTGTAACTAATTCTGTATATTAAATCTCTTCCATTTGATATACTTTGGTTGTTTCAATTTTCTTGACTAGATTCTAATTGATGCACGAGGGACTATCCCCTACTATCTAAACTCACCATCTGAATAGAAGAGATACTTGTAGAAATATTAACCATCATACGTGCCAAGAACCATGGTAGGTACTTTACATGTTATCTCGTTTAATTCTAACATCAACCCTGACAAATGGGTATGAGTATACTTACGTTACGCCATAGGAACTGGGGCTCAGAGGGGCAAAGAAAGCACTTTCCAAGGATATAACTGGAAAGAGCTGGGATCCAACTCTGGGTCTGAAGCCAAAATACATTTATTTCTTGGTTCTTCTGGAAAGAGAAGAGCTACTTCCTGCCAAAGAGTTCCACTTTCCTCAGAGGAAGTCTCATTGCTCATCCTTACAGACCCATTCGCTGAATCCCAACTTAGACTGAGGAAAAGGAAGATAAAATACATCGTGGGGTAGTGGAACACACAGACACAAGTACTCATTACTTACGAGAACTGCAGGACGTGTGAGAAAGGCCCTCGGCAGAGTTCCGAGGCCCCGCACGCGCTCTGTTACTCTCGCATATCTGACCCCAGGCAGTCGCTTTCTCTCCAGAGGCCTCACGTTCCACCTCTGGAAAATGACCCTGATGTTCTGTGCTCTGCTGAGTCTCTACTTTGTAAAGTGTCTACTTTGGGATATAAAAAGCTATATCACAGACGGGGGGCAGAAGTTAAAGTTAAATAAAGCCAGATTATAGAGGGTCTTGAATAGGCTGATGTGCAGTTCTTATTTTTATCCTATGAGCAGCAGGGAATCATTTTGGCTTCTTGAGGAAGAACTTGATGCAAATAAATAACAAGGCTTATAGAAGAAACAACAACAAAAATGATAATCCAAAGGAGCGGCAGCAGCGACCGTCATTTACTGGATGCTGCGGACTAAGCACTGTCTTAAGGGCTTTACGGACTTTAGTGCATGGGACTGGCGCAGCTCAGGAGGTCTGGAATGTTCTCTCCACTTCACAGGTGGTGGAACTGTTCAAAGAAGCCACATAACTTGCCCAGAGTCACACAGCTGGTCCACAGTGGAGATGAGATTCAACTCAGTTTGGTCAAATCCTAGGTCTATGCTCTTTTTACTATACTATGAAACTCCTAATTTGGGTTGGAATGAGCTGAAACCAAAGGTAAGAAAAATAAATAGAAAAATATTGTTTAAATGTACAAGGGATCCTAAAAGCCTGCAGTAGAGTGCCGGACAATCAAAATACAGAGTGTGAGGCGAATAGAGACAATCTGAAGGACAAAAAAGACAAAAGCTGAGGCTCCATCGAATGGATTGATGTGACTTGTGAGATGGGCCAGGCGTTGCTTCCCACTGCCCCTCCTCCTCAATTTCCATGCAGGCGTCCACCCCTTCCCTGCAGCCTGTGAGCTGGAGGGGCAGCTGGGCGGGGCAAGTGGCTCCGGCCTGAGCCCAGCAGCCCGAGTCCCATCCTTTGGCCACTTACTGGCACAGGGATGGGCACGTCACCCAATCGAGGCCCATGAAACCAAACAGAGGCCTGCCAGGGACTGTTGGAAAGCCTTCTTGCTTTTGAAGAGGGCTTCTGAAAGGAATCTTCTTTCTCCCCAAATGTGGATGGGGACGCGTACAGCCCTTGCAGTTAAGGCCCGCGGTCTCATACCTGAGGGGCCAGCCTGAGTGTGAGGCCAGTGCTGCCGTGGTCAGATGGCAGGGAGGTGGCAGGAAATGGGTGAACGAATCTGTCCTCTGTTGTCCAAGGCACTCTGCGGTGGGTTTCCTGTTGCCCAAACGTGTCCTGTTACAATAGGGGACTCTCTGCAAGGTGTCGGTACCAGGCTCCTCTCCCCGAAGTCACTGTGCCATATACCACCGTGGAGAACAAAGAGAAACGTAAAAAGCCTAGAGCCAGGAAAATGTTAACAGGACAGCTGCCAGCCCTTGCTGGAACACCACGTGTCTGACCCCGTCTCTGATACAGCTCAGAGCAAGCCACGGTCCCGGCCTGTAATCCTCCCGGGCTGCACGGTCACAAGCACATCTAGAGTCGCTCGTGTACCTACAGAATGCAGGCCACAGTGACGCTACTCTGCGGGACCCACATGGTTTTGGACGTGGAGAGGATTCTTTTCATGCTAAGCCCTCTGATATATTTGGGTCCCACCGGGGTAAATGTCTTGACACTTCAAATATCAAGTATTATACAAACCAGGGTATCTTCAATTCAAGCAATGAGTCAGAGTAACAAACACTGTTTTGTCAAAAATCATCAAACACTTTATTCATCTATATTCATCTACACATATTATACATAAAAGCAGCAAAATCAGGATGTTTTCCTCAGCCACCCTTTCCACATTTTGTGCAGTTTTAGTGAACTATAAATCATTGACTTCTTCATGCCTAGAAGAGAAGAGAAGAAAGGGTGAGAAAATGGAGGCTTGTTGAGTGGATCTCAGAGTTTCAGTGACGTTCTGACCACAGCCTTGTCTTTGGAGGGGCAGGGATGGGCTGACTGGTGGGCTCCAGGAGCCCGGGGAGTGGGAGGTGATTAAAGGTCACTGTGATCACTGTGGGGGAAAAGATTCTGGTGCAGGCACCTTCTGATTCAGTGATAGGAATGCCAACGGTACCTAAGTTACTGGCGTAAGTGAACCTTTTGAGTTGCGAGCACAGTGGCAGCCTTTAATTTAGTAGCTCTTTTTAAGGAGCAAGGTAGGAAAAAAACAAGACTCTGTGTGCCACTGGGCATGCTTGGCCCCCATCCTCTCTCCCAGTGCCTGGATTCCAACCACCCCAGCTCACTGCCTCCCCGTCACTGTGTATGGCACTGGTCTGCCTACGGCGAATGCTGTTCCCATCACCTTCTGCTAGTAGACTCAGAATCCCCTTGAAGATTTCTTCTCTAGGAAGTGCCTTCCTGGACTCCGGGCTGGTCCCACAGCACCTATGCTCACCTGATACACTGTACAGTACTTGTCAGCTGACTCACCTGTCCTTCTGCCTAGACTGGGAGCTCCTTGAGGGCAGGGACCTCGTCCTATTCATCTCTGTATCCCTAGCGCATGGTAGGTGCTCAGTAAACACTTGAAATGATGGGAGAAATGCACCTCATTCAGATAGCTGGCCCTCTAGTTCCCCCAACTACTTAGTCATGAGTGCATGATGAAACCGGAGAAGAGGCTCTCTGGGGGCTTAGGAGAAAAAAGTAAAATGAGATAAAATAAATGGGATGTTATTTGTTTGTCAGATTTAATAGGATCCTGTTCGTGGATGTTATTATGGATTTGACTTCCTTTGTGTTGAGGGTGAGATCATTTAGTCTGCATTTCAGGGTGTGGCCCAAAGATCTGAACAGTCCTTTTCCCTGTGAGATGCAAACTGCGATCTGTGCCGTGAGTCTGAAATGCACACCCTGGCGGTGCACTTTGGTGTGCACGCTGAGCGAGCACGATTCGTTCTGGAGATGGCCAGCACTCGGGTTTGAGCGATCTCTTGAAAATGTCTGGCCCTGTTACCCGTAAACTGCCTAGTACACTGAGAGGCTTTGAAGAAGCTACTGCAGACAGTGGCGGGGCCGCAGTAAAATCATTAATGAACACTTCTATGTACTCTGATGGCTTGTCTACCGGCTAACTACTTGCAAACCGACACAACCTAGTCAAGAAACTCAGAGCTCCTTTCCCTGCCCCTGCCCCTTTTAATTTTCTCCCTGGAGCAATCACTCTGGGAAACCTCACCCACTTGAGCATTGAGACTAGAAACTCATTACGTAAGGTGCTTTTGAAAATTCTAGCCAGAACCAACCAAGAGACCAAGCAGAATACAGGTAGTTGCACATGGTAAGGTTCAGTACGGCAACCCCAGGGCACTGAGTCATGCTAGAGGAAGATGCATGAACCATGATAACTTAAAAAAACTGAGCCACAGACCCCTTGGAGCTTACACATTTAAGGTAAATACATAAATTGGATGAGCGTCACCATGTAGCCATTTTTTTGCTGCTAGTGGACAGAAACCTCCCTCGACTAAAAACACCCTCCTTTCGATGGCTCTGCCAGCAAGCTACTCTCCAGAAGACCGCAACAGGGACTTTTGTTAGAAAGAGCACTGGAACAGGAGTCAAAGAGACCTGGACTCTCGTCCCAGCTGGGCCATAAACTGATAGTGTGGCTCCCCTTCCCCGGGCTTCAACTTCTTCTTCTACAAAATGACTGGGTTAGATCAGATTAGGGGTTCTCTAACAAGGGGCCCACAGACAGGCTTGAACGTCAGTCTGTGAACTCCTGCAACTGCAGGCAGCTCTGTGCATGTGCATACATGCACTTCTGTGCACGGGGTCCACAGTTTTAGTCAGATTTTCACAGGGATCCCAGATTTGCAAAAGGTTAAGAACCAACAGATTAGAACGAAGGGCTCTTTTTGCCTTAATATTCTAATTTCAACTAAGGTGGAGGGCTTAAATTTCATGAATTTGGAACAGGCAAAACTTTCTTAAACAGCACACAAAAAACTACTAACCATAAAAAACAAATGGATAAACTGGACTATGTCAAATTAAGAGCTTCTTTTCACCAGAAGACACCACTAAGGGAGTCTTCCAGAGTAGGGGATTTTTGCATTACATACATCCAACAAAGGGATTCAGTAGGAAAAAGGTAGACAACTCAATAGAAAAATGAGCAAAAGACTAGAATAGACACTTCACGAAAGAGGAAATATAAACAAACAAATGAAAAATGCTCAACTTCCTTAGTCATCAGCAAAACGTAAATTGAAGCCCCAATATGATACTGCTATTCTCCCACCAGAGTGCCTGAAATGAAAAAGACACATAATAGCAAGTACTGGCCAGGGGGCCGCTGCAAGGGAAACTTTGGTGATGAGCGTGTAAATGCGATGACTGGTTGGTGGTATCTACTAAAGCTGAACATTCACGTGCTTTATGATCCAGGAATTCTAGCCCCTAAGTATATACCTGACAGAAATGCAAACCTATGTTCACTAAAAGATAGGAACAAAAGTATTCATAGCAGCATCACTTGAATAGTCCCAAGCTAGAAACGACCCAAGAATCCATCAATAGTAGAATGTATAAATTTTGGTATTCATAACAGAATGCTGCACTGAGAATAAATAAACTATTGCTATTCCCAGCATGATGAATCTCATTGATGTTACAAGGATGTTATGAGGAGTAAAAGACACAAAAGAGTACATATTTCTGTAAGTTCAAAAATGGGCAAAAAAAGAACCATGGCACTGGGAGGCAAGCTAGTGCCTGCCCAGAGGAGCGGTGCCTGGTGGGTGCGCGGGGGCCCTGGGGGACTGGCACAGCTGTATTTCTCCATCTGGGCCCTAGGTCCACAAGATATTCACTTTATGAAAAGTCACCAGATTTATGTGCACTATTCTGTATATATGGAGATATTTCCTACTACTTGGCTTACATGACGCTTACTCTTTATTTCTGCTTCTTTTCTAAAGAAAAGGATGGTGATTTAAGAATTCTGCACACCCTACAATCCTTTAGAATGTGCTCCCTTCTAGGGAAGACACCCTGCTAAGAGAGAAACTTTACTCTGTGTCTGACCATCATCATCTTTTGCCCCTTCCCCACTGGATAAAGATGAAACATCTCTTCAGATGTGTCCTCTTTAGAGAGATCCTTATTTACCTAAAGCTAGTCATTATGAATTCTGATAGCATCTAAAGTCAGAATTTTGTTTCAGAAGCATACAGAAATCCACTTCAATATATGGCTCCTAAGTGTTTTCTTCGGCTGATTCTCAGCGTGTTTCACGTGAGCTACAGCAAAGCTGATGCACACGTAAGACCACGAACTCCTCTGTGACCTTAAACAGACGGGTTCACTGACAAAGTCTCCAGGAAATAATGTGAGACAGAGATTTGACTAGGTTGTGAAATGTTTCTGCTGTCCCATAATTTTATATTTCAGACCTTTCAGAGATAAAATTAGTTAAGCCCCAAAACATTCTTCCAATTAATTTCCAACCATATTTAGACATATCTACAAAGAAATCTCTTCTGAAGTAGAAATACAACTTATTTTAAGAACTTCACACTTAAGTGATAAGCAAATCACCAGATAAATCTTTAATATTTTTACATGTTCTTATTTAAATATGTAGGTACCAAAAACTGGAAGAAACGCTTTAGTCATAAGAAATTAGAAGCAGAGGGTAATGAACAATCCATTCTGCTGTGTTCCCGGCACTGGCGGGTAAGGATCAACTGAGGCATGCCAGAATCTTTTAAGGAACAAGACTAAACCTGTCTTGTTAATTCAGTCGAATCTTTTGAAGTTAGAGAGGTAAATAGGTATTTGCCCCCAGAGTTAATTCTGTTTGATCAGAAAGTCAGGTAGGGAAAAATAAAGCAAGATTTCAAAAATGAAACTCATCATCCTCATCCAACATCCCTCCCCTTAGGCAATGGTTCCACTGCTTCCCGAGCCAGAAACCTGGGAGTTAGTTCTGACTCCTCTTCTTCACTTCCCATCTCCTTCTGTCCCCAAGACCTAGTCATTTCCGTCTAAATACACTGGGATCTCTTCTGTCTGTACAGCCTGACGTTGAGTTCAGGCTGCTGTAATTCCTTACCTGGCTGGTTGCAATCACATCTAATTGGTCTCCCTAACAATAGCTTTATCTCCCTGCAATTTCTCTATTCTCTAGCTACAGTGGTCTTTCTACAATCCTACAGTGGCTTCCCTCTGCCTTCTAAAGAAACTCTGAATTCCTTCACACGGCTTTTAAGGTCTTTTTTTGTCTGGCTCCTTCTTATCTCTCAGTCTAATCAGTAAATTCTCCCCTTTCTCACCTACCTGTTCCCACACCAGAGTACTCAGGCAGTTCTATTTCTCTCAAATCAGGTTAGAAACTTTATATAATAAAAGGCTGCTGCTCAAAATACGGCAGTTTGCTTAGCTGGTCTTTGGTACAGTTTGAGATGTGACGCCATCTGCTGCTCCGTGAGAGACGCAGACAAGCTTTCGGGGGCTACATACTGTTTTGCTACTCCTGAACCAGCTGGCTTCGGCCGCTCATCTGCTACCCTGATGAGAACTATGTTATTCTACCAACAATACTGGTTTAAGAAAAGTCAAGATTATTTTCTAAATAATCAGCTCCCAGGCTAAAGGAAAAGAAAAATAAGTGTTTGGAAGCAATTCTCTACTCACATTTGAACATGGGTATAATGTGATGGTCAGGGGACTTCAAGGGAACTAACAAAGGCAGTGTGTCAACTGCGTGAGAACACACTGCCGTGTTATCCAACAGACTTCACTAGGAAGGGCAATCCTCTGAGCTGGTTCCAGATGCCTGGCTTCTATCTTTCTAGGCATAGAGTGAGACTTAGCTCTAGACTCCTCCAAGTTTATAAGGCACCTGCTAGGTAATATACTGGATACTCTCGTTTAAGCCTCAGAACACCTTGTGAGTTGGGTATTAGTATCCCCACTACTTCCCAGAAGAGAGTAAATCATACACTAAAGTTATAAGAGTGAAGAAATGAATAACTAGAACCTCAAACCCATGTCTTCTGACCCCAAGCTTAGCTTCTTCAGTTAGCTGATTCCCTGAATGTAACTGAATTTGACTATAAAAGGTATTTGCTGGCTAAGGGGAAGACCGGATCTTCCTCTTTATGCGTTATGAGCAGGAGGTTGCACAGGGAGGAGTGATAATGGCTATAAAGGAATAAAATCAACCAAATATGCTGAGTTTTCTCATCCTGCAGGTGATACGTCAGTTGGCTGAAAAACTGAACAGGGACAGAATTTTGGAAATTTCAGAGAGAAGCACCTAACAAAAGACAGAAACCAGCTGTGACTGAAGGGACTTGTAAAGAACAAGGTGCTGTGAGCATGAGGAAAGACAAACAGGTAAACCGGCCCCTCAGCGCCCAGCACTACCTGTTCACTCCCCCTGGAGACCTGGGTAAGGGTCTAGTGCCATTTGAATAGGACAGCGTAAAGAGGCTTGTGTTAAAGAGAGGTCGGGAAACTTTTAGGTAATGAGACCAAAAGAGGAAAGACCAGGCACAGTGCTTTTACATGTCCTAAGATAACATTTTCACAATCTGGTGAGGCAGGCATAATTTTCCTATGAAATTAAAACTCCGAAAAATTAGGTAACTTGCCCCAGTCACAGTGGTTAAGTTGTAATCTGAACTCCAGTCTCTGGGGCTCAAAAACCCCTGTCCTCAGCACTATACTAGGTGGCCTTCGTCACAGCCCAGGACCACCATCAACAGAGGTGCCAGAGCATCAGGCAAATAAAGTCACAGAATTTGAAGGGGTGTGTCACTTTGCACGGTTTCTGTCACTGTGGACTTCCACAACCCAACTGGCGCCGTTAGAAGCAAAAGGGAAGCAAGCAGGAGACCTGCACTGCGGGTTCTGGGACCCACTGCCCTCTGCTGGCGAATGGAAAGAACGCGTGGAAAGAGGACCAAAGGCTCACCGCAGGTTGGAGGTGTGTGTGGAGAGGGTGATGGATTTTTTTTTTTTTTTTTTGAGACTGGGTCTCACTGTGTTGCCCGGGCTAGAGTGCCGTGGCGTCATCCTAGCTCACAGCAACCTCAAACTCCTGGGCTCAAGCGATCCTCCTGCCTCAGTCTCCCGAGTAGCTGGGACTACAGGCATGCGCCACCATGCCCGGCTAATTTTTTCTATACATATTTTTAGTTGTCCAATTAATTTCTTTCTAATTTTAGTAGAGACGGGGTCTCGCTCTTGCTCAGGCTGGTTTCGAACTCCTGAGCTCAAACAATCCGCCCGCCTCGGCCTCCCAGAGAGCTAGGATTACAGGCATGAGCCACCGCGCCCAGCCGTGATGGATCTTTTAAAATCATTTATTAGAGAAAAATTCAGACTTATAAAAAATAGAAGAGTATAATATATCCCCAAGTATCTTCACTCAGCTGCAACAGTTTTTCAACTCTGGCCAATCTGTGCCAGGTACCCCTCACACACTTCCCTTCACCATGTTTTATTTTGAAGCAAATCCTGGATATCATACCATTTCATCTGGAAATATTTTAGTACGTATGTCTAAAAGAAAAGGGATTTAAAAAAAACCATAATGACACCATTATTACAACTAAAATTAACAATAATTCTAACAATTCCTTATAGCATGGGAAGCCAAAAATCTTAAAAAAAAAAAAAAAAAAAAACAACAATGATCAAGCTTCACCCAAAGAGGATCATGGCAAGGGAGAGGCAATCATGCAAACCACAGATTAACAGCCTGAATCATACAAGCAAACAAAAGCACCTCATCTTCAGTCTTGCAGGATAAACCAGCAGAAACATAGATTAAACGAGTATCTTAATTAGAATTGCAAAGCCATGCACCCCCTGAGTGGTAGGAAAGCCTCTACTTCAGTAGATTTGGCACAAACGCTACTGAATCTTTGTTAAATCTTTCCAAAGATTCGGGAGGGCAACACTGTGTCCTTAGGGGCCAAATGCGCAGATGGGTATCCAGGCAGCTGGGCTGGAGACATTAAGAGGTGTGACCACACCAGCTCCCTAACCTGGGGATCAGAGTCGGGTTGAAAGGTCACCTTTTTTTGGGTTATCTCTGTGCCATTTCTCCCCCTGAAGTTTCTGTTAACACATTTGTCTCCCCTTCTAGATTGTAAGGCCCTGGAAGGCAGGATGGCATTTTGTTCACTTCTGCATCCTGAGTGGCTAGCACATGAGAGATGCTCAATAGATGATTACATGAAGGAAGACTGAACTAGAAAAGTCAACTGCTTAATGCTATCCACTGTTGGAAAGAATGGGGACAAACTACATAGGAAGATGGAGGGATGGGAGGGGAGGATATGGGGTGATGGTGGGAACAAGAGTTGAATTCTAACCCCCATAGGAAGAAGCCAATAGATGGTGCCTAAAGTTGAAAAGTAGAGAAGGAACATTAAACAGTTATTTAAAGAAATGGCAGCAAAACCAAAAATAACTCACACTGTGAGAGCTGGAAGTAGCTGTCTCCGAAGAAGGGGAAGGGGGGAGGGAGCCCAGGTAATGTGTTTTTGCAATGCTTTGCATTTGCTAAATGTAAAAATAGGAGGAAAAAACTCCACACACAAGGAGTTATTGAGAAAGTTTAGAGGAGCAGTAAAGACTTCCAACAGGGGGTCGAAGGGTCTGATTTTGTTAGACTACCAGATTATGCTACTGTTATGCCTGTTCGTATATTATTACAATATCCTAGTCTGTGACTATTAAAACTCAGCATTTCACAAGTACTTAAAAGATATACATAAAGCCTCACAGTTTAACCAAGAGCATCAAACAAGTTAATCCAGCAGGTACTTTATGCATGGATTTTCTAGAGTTCTTACCAGCAGTAAAAATGCCTTTGGTGCTCTGTCTTATACTAGAACGTCTCACGATTGCCGAAAGCCCTGTGAGAAAAAAAAATAAATAAAAAGGATACCAAAAAACCCAAAACAGATGTTGGTCATCTTAACAGTTTCAAAACCCGAAACTAAATATTCTTTCCAGTCAGCCAATAAAACCAGCAAATCTGTCTGTCGTGGTGTCACACAGTGACGGTGAAAAGGGTGTCAGGACTGAGGGCCAGGAGACTGGTGCGGCCAGCTGTGGCACCGCTCGACTGTGTGAGCACGAGCAAATGAAAGAACCGCTCTGGGCCTGGGCCTAGACCTCCTTCCCTTAAAACAAGAAGCATGGGGATAGGCAACCCTCAAAGGTCATTTTATGACTTTAAATCTGCTTAAGACTTCTGGTTTTCAATTTTAAGATGTGAAAAGATAAAAAACCAAATGTTTTTATCTATGAGAAAAACTTTCATTCTGAAAAGGCACACACAGGATTCCCCAGTGAGGAGCAACAGTGTAAGTCTTTCATTCCCTCTAGAAGACAGCAGAGATCACGCTGTTGCCGGGATCAGGCTAAAACAAACCACCACCTCCAAACAGTGTGTCGCCTACAGGTCTATCTTCAGAATAGG